TAGAAACGACCAGAAACCACTTGTCCCACCGCACTCACTCCTTTATCAGTTCTAGCGGATCGTGCCCATTCGTAATTTCTTGGTTTGTTCCGATCAGCATCAGGTACTGCTCCGGCATGGAACAAAGCCTCTTCTAGCTCGCCTTCAATGGTTTTGGCGCCGGGATTCTTTTGCATTCCCTGATACCCTACTCCGCAGAACGCAAACACGATTGCGACTTTCCGGCGTCTGTATTTCGGCGCTCTACGCTCAGCGACATTGCTTCCGCCGGTGGTAACAGCCGAGGAATCAGTTTCCTGGCCGGTGGTCGAAATCTTGAGCTTCTTATGGTCTGGTTCTCTATCAGGAACATCGTCTCGAGGCAATTTCTCGATATCAGGCTCTTGATTCTCCATTTTCACCACTGAGTGTAGTTCTTTGCTACGTTTAACGGATTAAGTTTAGTTCTGTACCCTCAGAGAACCCTAGTCCTTGGCTTAGATGACGAACGAGTTCCTTCTCTACGACGTCGTATTACAATTAAAGCGCAATTAATAACTGGGGCTTATAAGGTATAATATCCATTTATTATCCTGAGTAATATTGGGCCTTTAAGCCCAAATAATTTTAAAACAATCGACACCTAAGTTATTTGAGTTCATAATATTTCTTTTTGTATAGACCGCACTATTTGTACCACTGATTAACCCATTTGACATTTGTTGGGATTTTTCTCTCTAAAGTTTCCACTTATGCTTCACCAAATTTGTTGACCAAATTTCAGTTAGAATTTTTAAGTCGAAGCTTGAAATAGTTGCACTATCTATCTACCATCGTAGACATGACTCGTAGTTCGACCAGTTGCATTTTAGATGTTAGAAAATGAAAACATAATACAGGAGTAAAAGCCTAAAAGGGTAAAGGATACCCAAAGGTAGGTGATGTGAATAATATATAGTCATGGGACTTCATGATTCATGTTTTGAAATCATATAGCAAAAAGCCAATCTTTTGTGACATCCTATCACTTGACGTTCGACCCAACCCAACACTGTCTCTTCAACCCTTTATTTTCTACGTTTTTATGTTTCTGCAATCGTCATTCTATACGAATTGTATTTTTTTAATAATAAATATGAATTAAAAATGTCAATAAATTCTCGGCAACTGCATAAAGAACAAATCAAGTTATTCATTAAATACCTTCTGCATCACGTGATATGCTGCCCTAAAAGATTTGTAATCATGGAATCCCACATAGATTTTCCCAAGTAAAAAAAAAAGAAAAAATCAACTTATTGTTTGTAGAATATGATCAACCACAAACATGTTGAACATACAAAAACAAAGAATTTGGATGCAAATATAACTATTTTGAAGTAACATGCCAATTGAGTAAAGTTTTCAAAATATATTTTTTCTGATTTTTTTTTTTGTATGTAAGAAGTTTGCAATTGGACCGTAACAAGTTATTTTAAAATTTTCATAAATAAATTGGAGTATATAACAAATATACCATTGTAATCAAATGTTCTTGCGGAGATTTGAATTAATACACACACAAAAAAATAATAGTACATGACGATAATGATGATGATATGCATGAGAGAGTGTCTACGCATGCACAAGGAAAAGGTGACAAGAAGGGAATAAATTTGCCAAAACATAATTATGATTTGCGCGGGCGACTTATAATTGTTCTTATTAGTATTTAATCCACTTTTTGCCAACCTTTTTACCGCAATGTACCTAGTATATTGAATCGAAGAAATTGAACCTTTACTCCTACAGGATGTTTCAAGGTTTGAAGTATTACAAACAGTTTGCGTTGTCAAATTATAAATTTTCATAACAAGAAAGCTAGATATGATAAATTTAAGACTAGCTATTCTTTATATTGACCTGTAACCATACAAAAAAAAATAAAGACTATATTTACATACAGTTAGATTCTCATATTCATGTGGTCCGATTTATGTCAATGTGGGACATTGGGTTTTTACGTTCAAAGTGCATAAAGTAAAGAAATGAACATATAAATTTGACATCCACAACAATTATGTTGATGCTCTTATGGAAGTTTTGCTTGAAATCATTCTACCCGAAAATCACAGTCTCACTCACAATGAGGGACACATTGTCTTCAACAAACGATGGCTAAGTAGGTCAATAACGTAAAAAGATACCACATAATTTTTCAACGAGAGAATTTTATGGTTACATCGAAGCTCTACCTAAAATGTTTTATCAAAATTATGACAGCAACAAGATTGATTAATTCTTACTCGAGTTTTGATCATCGTGGTATCAGTTATTTGTGAGAAAGTTGAAGTTATCAAAACAATTACAATACAGTTTGTAATGTGAAGAAAATATTAGAACGTCATGAAGTAGATGATAGGCAAAAAAAAGATTGCAAATCGAGTAGAAAAATTAAAACTTAAAAATTTGAATATTCGTTAGCAAGTAAAATATTTTATAGGAAATCATAATTTAACATTGCTTATGAAGTTTCATGTAACCGTTTGTATTTGACTGATCCTAACTATTTTGTATGTAAACCGTATATAATAGTACTGATAAATAGAGAACGGTGTTAAAATTAAAAGAACACATTTTCACATTTGTTAATTTTGTTTTTTGAATATAAAACTAAACCTTACAATACAGAAGTTGAATCCAATAGCCTGTAATGCTCTGGAAAGCAGAAATTTGAGACTTTTATTAAATGGTTCAATCATAGCACTGACATCTTCACAATCCGACAAATCCGCTATATCAGTTTTTACTTTCATTATCATTGAATGCAAATAAATATCAAACCCATTGGCCATAAACCTAATGCATATATGTCAAAAATAAAATAAATGGGCAGACGATATTACTACGATGAGTCTATAAGCTAGAGTGTACCTACTTCTACTTGAATGTTTTGTTTTCAAATGGCCAAGTTTTTTTAAAAAAAAAAAAAAAAAAAAAAACCAAGTTATCGTAGTCGAATGAATCCGACAAAGTGCAAGCCGCGAAACTTTCATCCTCGCTAATCCTAGTAAAAAAAGGAATTTGATTTAAATTTGGTTGTGAACGTTAAATCTTTATTATAGAAAAAAAGAACTTTAAATCTTTATATGAAAAATTATCAATGTTTAGAATTAACTCTTTTTTTGTCAGTTGTGAAAATTTGAGAGAGTATGAGGTGTTGACGGCCAAAAATAGGGGGTGGGTAGATTTCAGGCAGTAAATAGTGAGGAAGTACGTATTATTATGAGTTGGTGCAATTAATATCTTGAAGGGGTCAGCTATTATTGTTCAAACGGATTTATGACAATACTAACTCCACTTTTATGGAAGTTTGTTCCTTTTCTTCACTCAAAACTCAAAACTAAACAAAAAGTAGGGATTTGTCGAAGCAATTTTGTCTAGGAGCATAAAGGTGATTATGAAGGTCGTGGGAGTGATGAGTGCGACATATCAATTGACTGTAGGGAAAGATGTTTAAATTCCTATTGCTAATCTATAATGTATCAAACAATTATGTGTATTCCATTTATTGTAATATTAGAGACTGGCCATGTCAAGAAAAAGATAGAAGTGATGAACCCTTTTTAACTCCAAAGATCTTAGTCTTACTTTATTTAGCCCTTAGAGATAGTTGATGGGTTTAAGTCATATATGTTCAAACTTTAGACGTCTTACTTACTGTTGTTATTCATTTTTACCCCGAGCCTTGGATTCTGTAATCCACTGCCTCTAGTGGATTAGTAAATGGACCCATTAATTGGAAGTTGTCTCGCGCACCGTCGTATAAACCAGAAGTGAAGAAATTGTTATATTCACATCAACATGATCATTCGAAATATTATACTATCATAACTATTTATTAAAAAACGCTGTCAACTATTAATAAATAAATTTAAAATTTAAATTCATCATCCGTTTCTTTTTGCACTGATATAAATTTGCAACGTGTACGTGGACACTGGACTGATACAAATCGATCGGTACCGTAATTTGGGATTTTTACGTTACTATTAATCATTTTAAATAATCTATTTATTAGTAACGGTTGTAGTGATCAACGTGACAACATGCATGGTGCATGCTTGTATACTAATATATATTTTTGTTAGTTCGTAACGTTTTTGTAGCTAATAAATATGAATATATGATAAATATATCAAGAAAGTTACATATGAACAACAAAAACAATCATTACAAGACGATCAAGTTCCAACAATTTTTTTTTTGTTTCTGCTCTTAACAATGAGTTGGTATAAAACGAGTACGAAAATTAACTTGCTGCAATTGTTTTCAGCCAAAAACAAAACCCATTCTTAGTCTAGTACTATATCCTTAGAAATAAACTAAGTCATACGAAGAAAAATATGCAGAAGGTGATACTTTATTATTCAAATTACAAATGCTCTTTTATCAAAGAAATAAAAAATAATACAAAGTCTCATATTTATATTTTCTGTTGTTAGTTATTTATTTATTTATTTATTGTATTTTGGGTTATACTCTGTAGATATTGGCCAACGTCAACGCTTCTTTATCCGGGGAAAAAGGCTGAGAAAATAAAGAAAAGCAAACGGAAACGGTAGGCGCAAAGATGAACCCCGTTGGAAAGTTTCTAACTATTTCTAGTGAGGTAATTAACAAAACAAAAACCCAAAAAAAAAACACTTCTTTTCTAATCTCTCTCTTCCACTTTTATGTGTTGATGTTGTTAGATCTGAGGTCTATTAAAATCCGAATCCTTTCAATCTCTTCTCTTATTCCATCACAATCATCTAGGGTTTTAAGCCAAGCTTATATAGCCCGTCATAAAGAGAACTCATCTGCCTCTCTCTCAATACCAATAAATATCACCACCGTCCTTCTCTCCTATCACTATTCAATCTATCGCAAACTCCTTTATGTCTCTCCAATTTTATGAGAGGGTTTCCTTCAAGAACACAGTAAAATAGATTGGATCTTTAAACTTTTGTTCCTTTTCATGAGGGTTTGACAAAGATTTTCTTACAGTCATCTTTGGCATTCTGTCCACCTCCTTCTATACATATATGCATGTGTATATATATATATGCGTTTCGTGTGAAAGAAGGAGGTGGGTATACTGCCAATAGAGATCTGTTAGGGCTTCTTCGTAAAACCCTCTTGATCTATATACAAGTTTATCAATGTCTTGAATTTGACGATCTTGATTTGTTTCTTGGCGATGAAGAGCCTCGATCTAGGGTAATTTTACGATTAACCATTTTCTTGATTCTCACATCTTTGATTCTCTGGATTCTTTTTGTTTGATTTCATATATAAAGTTCGTTTCTAATATTGATCCTTCACTGTTTCTTTACGTTGAGCTCTTCATTTCGTTTCTTGATTATGTTACATGTTTTTTTTTTTTTTTTTTAAAGCCATGTATAACCTTCGATTTTCCTCATTTATAGTGTGTAGCCTTTGGACTATATGGTCTTCTAGAAAAAGGTAAACCAGTAAGAAAAAGAGAAGGACCCAGAATTTCAAAAAGGTAACAAAGGTTTTGTTTTACTTTGAGAAATGGTAATGTGGGAAAGGAGACGCATCTTGTTTTGAAGTCCACGATGTTATTATGATGTTCCCTTATTCTATATGAAGTTGAAGAAACAGTAGTAGAGATTACGTGTACTCCTTCATTTGGTATCATTTCTGACCTATTTACACAAAGATCATAAATTACTTGCTTTATCTTGAGTATGAATTGAAAATAATTCATATATGTTTTGAGTTTCCACGAAGATTTGTTCGTTGATCATAGTTATTTGGGTATGCATGTATCACATTTTATGATAGTTAATTACTATTCTGGTTACTAAATGGTGGTTATCACTTATCAGTGCTTTAAGTTTGGCATTTGATCTGGTTTTACGTTAGTACTTAGAAAATTATTAGATCATAAATCTGAACACTTTGTATTTCGATAATGTTCGAAGTATATAATCAGCTGCGCATGCAAGAAAAAAAATGTTCTAAGTAACTAAGTTAGGAGCTTTCCAATTAATAAGATAATTATGTTCTCCAGATCAATAAATATACTCACATATATATCTGATGTTTTATCCTATATATCAAGGAACGAAGAGTTGCTATAGTTTAATTTGCATGAAGCTCCAATATATGAGAGAGATTCTGTTATCATAATGTTTTCATTTGGCACGAAGGTTTGTGAATACCCAGAGCCTATAGAAATTCGTACATAATCAGAGGATGATACTCTCTCGGTCTCTCCCACTTGATCAAGGAATAGGTGAAGAATGCTGTGATAATATCATAAAGGATACTCACTTATCAAGCCACATAATCCCAAATTATTAATGTTTGTTGTCTCATGACTCTCATCTTTTCTACAAATGTTGTAAATGGGTATTATGTAATGTATTCAACAATCTCACGATTTGTGACTTGTGAGGGACAACAGTTTGGATTTAATGAATATTCATGAATTATAGGGTTTACATAAAAGATTTTGGTAACCGTTCGATGATTTTCAAAGTCTTGTAAAGTTTGCTCTACATAATACTTCCACCTCTCTAGACGTTTTCTTAAGATGAAATCCGGGTTTCTACAGTTTTTGATACTAGTATTAATTAAAGTTTAAAATTCTCCTGACTGAAAAAAAGTACTCAGTTTTAGCTATTACAACATTCTTAAATATAGACGAAAAACAAAACCAAAAAGAAATTAAGTTAAAGGCCACAATGTTAATCTGTGCATGAGATATTAATGCATTAGTTTTCATTCTAGACTTCTAGTTGAGTTGATTAAAAAATAATAATGAAAATTTGGTTTTAGAAAAGGTTATCGACTCTATCTATAATCTACAATAACTCATCTGTGGACTATCAAATTAAACTTCGTTGCGGCCTTGCGGGAGCAATCAAGCTTACATAGTTACATGGTTATCCGGAAAATGGGCTTCAATCAGGTATTATGTATGGGCTTCAAGCCCGACATACATACGCATCCTGATGAGTGATGACTGTACTATTCTAATTTTGTTGTTGTTGGGAATCATAGTTTGGTATATATCAGAAACTCTATTCATTATCCATAGGCTAGTAATGGTGTTATTTTAATAATAAAAATGGTTTTTAATAAATTTATTTCATTCAGAACAGTAATAATGGTTAGATATAAGAATTTGGTTGTCAGAATATTAGTTGTGCTAACTTTTTACAAAAATATTGTCCCATTCTTAATGTGTAATGGATGCCATGTATAACAACATTATTCTACATGCATTTATACTTTAATTCGATTTTTGTATACAAGAAGTACGAAAAGTATTCAATAAAGCAGACTTCAGAGGATATGCGAATCTATCACACGTGAAACTAAATTTGTCTTATCTGATGAATTTAGTGACTCTTAAGAAAAACTTGAAATACAAAAACAAATAAAAGTAGCTTACGAGACTATATCACTCGCCCACTCATCTAACATTATTTGAGATTGAAATCGCTTTATAGATTACTGGCTTAGACAAACATCAGTCAAGTGTATATATACTTGTGATTTATCATATGAGAAAAGAGAACAAACAAAGACAACCATTTCCCCAAATTATACGATACAAAACTGAATAAATTTTTAATTTTCCCCAAAAGAAACTGTGGATCGAATCAATAATAAAATAACCGATACAAAAATGGAAACCATTTAAAGATTACACAATGGACTAGTCTATAATAATGGGATTGGGGCGGCTAAACATAGCATAATATGGTTGAATGAATTTACTTTCTATTATAGTAGCAGGTTTCGGCTGACTCACTCTCACGACGATCATGGATTCGCTAGCTAGCTGGTTACCACATCCGTTGACTAGTCAACTGTGTTGACAGATGTTTTAGTTGGTTTTAGAGTCACCAGAAATCAAAGTGAAAAAAAGCAATTTCTTTAACGACATAATATTAACTTTTACGTTTTAAGTCCTCTCTTATCCTTTTTTAAAAGTCCTATTTTAAGTACTTTCTATAATAGAATCTTCAAATTATCAAATACATTCTCTATACATGAATTTTTTTTGGTAATACAAGAAATCAACAATATCATACGAAACACAAATTTTATTTTCTTTGTACGAAACAAATGGAAGAATACAAGTATAGAAAATAAAATAAAAAGTGAAGATGCCATTTTGGTTTGAAAAACAAAAATGGTCCAAAAAAGAAGGTTAGTGTAAATTACAAAACTGATTAAAAATGGCAACATAACAAAACAATGTCGACAGATGCACGAAACTATTTCGACATAACGAGAGACTCAATGCATATCTGTCACGCGCGCTCTTAATTTCCATTTCTCCATGTTTCCTTTTTTTTTTTTAATGTCCCTATAAATACCCTATCAACACGGGTTATTATTTTTTCCGTTAGACTCCACAAAACTTAACGCCAACTACTTCGTCAAGTCTTTTTAGGTTTTCTTGTCGGAAATTTAAGGTTAGCTAATAGATAGAATGGGATCTCTCCCTGCGTTTGAAGAGCGGTTGCAGTATCCAACGGCGAGGCGTGATGAGTCCGTCGTTGAAGATTATCACGGCGTTAAAGTCTCCGATCCTTACCGCTGGTAAAAAGCGTTTACGTTCTCAGCTGTAACTAGCTACACTTGTTTGTTTGTTTGTTTTGTATGATAACGTTGTTGACATGTTGGTTGAGTTGACGGAGATTTTTATTACCGGAGAGCTTTCTGAAATTTCTGCTGTTTTATCGTAATGAAAGATTTTTAGCTCATGACCAATAGCATAACGAGCCTTTTTTGGACCAGCTCTATCGATTTTTTTTGGGCCCATTATTGATCTAACTGGACCAGTAGGCTAATTTCTGGACCAATTTTTGTTTGTTTGCTCATTAACTTTTTTGTGTCCCGGTTTGGTACAATCGTATATTGGTTTGGTTAGAATTCAGTTTAAGATAATTGATTCGGTTCTCTTGGTAGGTTGGAAGATCCTGACGCTGAAGAAGTGAAAGAATTTGTAGAGAAGCAAGTGCAATTGTCAGATTCAGTGCTCAAAAGTTGCGAAACGAAGGAAAAGCTTCATGACAAATTCACAAAGTTTATTGATTATCCTCGTTTCGATACGCCCTTTAAGCGAGGGAACAGCTACTTTTACTTCCATAACTCAGGTCTTCAAGCTCAGAGTGTGCTTCATGTTCAGGTAATTTGAAGCAGAGTATAATCTTCTTTAAGTGCGTTTTTGATTTGAATTTTTTTTTTTTTCATTTGAAGGATGATTTGGAGTCTGAAGCAGAGATCTTGCTTGATCCTAATATTCTTAGTGATGATGGAACAGTTTCTTTAAACACTTTATCTATTAGTGAGGATGCTAAGTATTTGGCTTATGGCCTTAGCTCTAGTGGTAGTGATTGGGTTACTATTAAAGTGATGAAGATTGAAGATAAGAAAGTGGAACCTGATTCTTTATCTTGGGTAAGGCGTCTTCAAGTTGAATTACTCGTTAGTTTGAAGTTTCATTATTGACATTGACATGAAACTTGTTCTGAAATCAGGTTAAATTTAGTGGGATCACATGGACACATGATGGGAAAGGTTTTTTCTACAGTCGCTATCCAGCTCCACGGTGAGTCTTTGGTTTAACTAACTGTGAAACTTTTTGGTGTAAAGCTGAGAACTTTGTTTGAGAAGTTTGAGCTTTTATTACTGTTTTCTGATTTTGGTTTTGTTTCTGTAGAGAGGGAGAGAAGATAGATGCTGGTACAGAGACTAATTCTAACCTTTACCATGAGTTATACTACCATTTCCTTGGGACTGATCAATCCGAAGATGTTTTGTGTTGGAGAGACCAAGATAATCCCAAACATATGTTCGGATCCAAAGTCACTGATGATGGGAAGGTAAAAGCTAGCTCTTTTCTCATTTCTCTTGGTGATGGTTTCACTTAAAGTTAGTCTTATGATGCAGAAAGTCTAAGATTTGGGTTTGAGTTTTGATCCAACCATTATGTTATTTTTTCCTTTCCAATCCAGTACTTAATCATGTCAATTGAAGAAGGTTGTGACCCTGTAAACAAGGTTTATCATTGTGATCTCTCATTACTTCCTAAAGGTCTAGAAGGTTTTAGAGGAAGCAACACTTTAC